GGGGGGGGGGGGGTTTATTATTGCTGACACCAATGAAGAAGGGGTCCATGGTTGCCGACACGGACATCAATGAATGAGGTGTTTATCACTGACACCAATGATTTATGATGGTTTATTATTGCTACCTTTGACAGCAATTAATTGATGGAGGCTTTATTTTTGCTGCAACTGACACCATTGCCGAGGGTTAGTATTGCTGTCACTGACAGCATTCATTGCTGAGGGTGGTTGTTGCTGACACTGACACCAATATAGGGGGTTTATTATTATTGCCTCTACTCTGGGCCAAATGACACATCCCAATTACCCTTTGCACAGCCTGAGACAGAACGGGAATGGGAATACAGCAGCAGTACACAGGTGAGTGGAGGGGTCCCTGAGCATGAACCGGGGGTTATCCCTGTTATATGTTTTTTTTCCGCTAGTTTTTTCTACAATGTATGACTGCTACATGATATTTTTAATTGGAAATTGTGAAAAAATAATTAATCTAGATGTGTCCCTTCCCATGATTTCTTGATACAAATGTGGCCATTGGGGCTCTTTAAGTTGGACTCTACTGGTATATACTGTATGTGTCATTTTATACAGTTTATCTAAGCATTATGATATCAAAGTTCAAACATGCTTACTTTGTAGGATTCAAGCAACCTGACCCCCTGCTCTGCTAACACAAATGATTGAAATCATAGATCTTACTTTTGTCATATTTTCCTTTCTTCTTTCTGTTTTTTCTAAACCTAAATAAACAATGTATTTTGTTTTGTGAATTTTGAGCTGTAAATAATTTAGCTAGGTTATGCAATTGTATCTAATGAAAAAAAATGGCCACACTTCCATTTCTGCATGTATTTAAGTTTAGAGAGCCGGATTAGGTATATTGATTGAGGGATTGTGAAGAGTTGCACCTTTACAATGCTCCACAAAATGTGATACAAAAATGATGAGCCTAAAATATTCTACATTTCTCAACAATTGGCTTAGTCTCTGGCTGGGAAGCAGTTACATAGCTAAAAATTAAGAAATAGAAAGAGTTATCAAATTTAAGATAGCCCAACACCTCCACAGTGAGTAACATAGTAGCAGAAAAGGACAATTAGAAACCAAGGCAAAAAAATAAGCCTGTGCTGTCATGGTGACTAAATGAAAAGGGTATTACAGATAATGAGTAATTTGTATTTTCCACTACAAACCATGACAGCACACAAGAGATATACCAGATAAATACCTCATAGGTAGAAAACCGAAGAAACTTTCCATCCAATGTCCGCCTACTGATCCAGATCTACATCCAGTCTGTAGTGCCAGACGCCAGTATGAAAATGTGACCACTTTGTGGCTCTACATATCTTATCCACCGTTGCTGAGGCAGCCTTAGCCCAAGAGGTAAAGATTGATCTGGTGGAATATGCTCTCACTTTTTCAGGAGGAGGATTATTGCTATATGACTGCAAGGGATGACTTGTAAAATCTATTTGACATTGGTAATCTTAGACACATTATGGCCTTAATCCTACCCTGAAACTGAACTAAAATAAGGTTTTGTAACCCTATGGTACTGGAGCAAGCACCTCCTCACATCCAGTTTGTGAAGGTCTTCTTCTGTATTAGGAGGACCAGGATAAAAAGAGGAAATAGTTATCTAAATAGAGTGATGTAGGATGGAATGTAGGAAGAGTCTAGGGATAGGACACTCTTATCCTGGAATATGTTGAAATAGGGTTGACGTATAGAGAAAGCCTAAATATCTCACATCCTGTTGACCATTGATATGGCCAGAAAGAAAGCCATTTGATTGTTAGGAATATTAGAAAGGCTTGATCTAGTGCATCAATAAACCTCTTAATCCCCAGGAGAGATTCCAGGGAAGAAACCTTCATTGAATAAAGGGTCAGAGATGTAAAGCTGCTCTCATAAAGTGTTTAATCTATTATTGGTCTGTCAATTGGAAATTAAAAAAAGGAAAACAAAGTGCTGAAATCTGGACTTTTGGGATGCTCTGGAAAAGCTGAACCCCTTTTCCAGACCTGGTTGAGGAAAGTCCAGTATCAACAAAAAAAAATGGATTTCTCAAGGAATCAACTTGAAAAAATATGTTCCAAATAGGCAAATACATTTTTGAAATAACCAAAAATTTTACTTTTGAAGGCTAGAGATTACTGTATCGGAGAGACTTCTTCTCTTGAGGATCTACCAAGCAAATGCCAAGCAGTCAATCTAAGTCTCACTACTGCTGGATGCAGAATCAGTCCCTGGAACAGAGGGTCGTGTCTGCATGAGAGAGGAATAGGTTCTGACACTGACAAGTGTTGAAGTAATGTAAACCACACTCTCCTGTGAAACCAAGTAGTTAGGATGAGGACTTCTGCCTCCCAGATTTTCTTAAAGTCCCATCCCTGGCTGAGGGCATCCGGACCCTCCAGAATGTCCCTCTTGTTAAGAAAGAACCTTAGTAGAAGGGCATTGCCTCCTATGGCAAACATATTGATCTGGTGAGCCCCCCCAGTGATCTATAAGTTGTTGGAACACATATGTCTGCAAAAGAGGGCGGGTACAATGCTAGTTTACTATTGGCTATTGAAATTGAAATAGCCAATAGTAATGTCCCAATGCTTTTGAATGGGTTTTTTTTTTTTCTCTATTCTGACATGCTCGTGTCAGAATACAGAAAAAAAGACAGAGCGGGTTTCTCTCCTTGGCGGCCGGGAGCGGGAGGCTCCCGGGGCGCCAGGGAAAGTCAGCTGTTTGGAGATCAGTGTCCCTGGTTAGCAACCAGGGAGGCTGATCTCTCTGAAAGTGGCCGGAGCCAGCCGTAAGATCACGGCTAGCTCCGCCAGCTTCGGCAATGATCGGGAGCTGTACGGGCTATTGTGAATAGCCCGTACAGCCCCCCCCCCCGGTTCTACTGAACCGAAGGCGTCCTGGGGCCGAAGCTAGCCGAAGGATCGGCCGAAGCTACGGCCAGATCCTTCGGCAGCTTCGTGAATAGACCCCTATGCTGCTTAATCCAAGCCCCTGTGGCCAAGGGTGACCACAAATGTAACCCTATTAAGTGAAGAATATGTTCCTCAACAGATATATTGCCTTAATTCCCATAACAATGGAGTCCTTGTTCCTCCCTGGCCATTTACAAAGGCTACGGCCATGGTGTCATCTCAAAAGTTTTTATATGTGTATTTGCAACATTTAGAGTGCTTCCTGCATCACGTTAATTCCCTGTAGTTAAAAGATCTAATCTCCAGCTCCCAATTTATCAACTTTGGCTCACTGACCTACAAAATTCCGTTTTCCGCTGCATCAAAGATGATAACTCCTCTGCAACTTATTTGTGCTTGCAGATAGCAGTTTGAAAGAAGATGCCAGCAGTTTAGAATTACAAAAAGTGCATTGTTTCTTAATCTTAAGCCTGCCACAGCCTCAGAGGACGATTTTGAATCTTTACTTTTCTAAAAGAAAACAAGGAGAAAAAAAACACACACACACACATTGCACTATATTCCCTAAAGGAAGCAGTGGAAAAAGAAGGGGATTACCCATAAACAGCCTGGATGCCTCTCCCTAGTGCCTTTGATCTCTTGATTGGGCATCAGCATTCTCATTCATCCTGCAGCACACACCAGCATTGGACTGGGTCAGAATCTCTTAAATAGACTAGGGACCACCAAAGGAACCCCACCCACACCCCTCTTTAATGCACCAGTTCAGCTGCAAGCAGCAAGACAAAAAATGGACCCTTCCGCAGAAACACATCACTTACCATTTTTGGAAGATAAGACTCTGAAAAATAAAAAAAGGGCACAAATATCCCCCAGAGCAGAATTGACATCATAACTGGAAGTGCAATGCATTCCACGGTGATTCTAGAAGTCCACGGGAAACCACATGGGACACCCAATGCCACTCTGATGCTGACCTAAATCTTACAGCGCCCTCATTCTGATCCTCAGGGAGGAGAGTAAGGGCCACTGCACATCACAGCTCCCACCTGGAGCCTGCTGCAAGTCCTCAACTGTCCCCCACACTCCTGAGCCCTCCCTCAGGCTGGGACCCCAAAAGGCTCCCTCCACTGCGAGCACACCTGTCAAGGGGGGAGATGGGACCAGCCTGAGAGGGAGCCACTAAAAAGGAGCCCACAGTAACTCCCAACTGAGATGCCATGGGAGTACTCCCTATGGTTCAGCTCCCAAGGAACAGAAAATCATTGAGGGGGTGTTGGGTTATCCCAAATGTATTAACTCTCCATTTCCTGTACCTCACAGCTAGGCGATTGCTCATGTGAGATGACACGTGGGGACATAGTGGAAAGATAGTTCATATATATGTATTTTAAGTGGTTTGCTTGGATTTCAGATTGACTTCATGTTTATTTGTGTTGAGGTCTGGGGAATTGTCTAACATGAAAATATTGACTGTTTTCCAATTTGGTGCCAGAGCCAGGATGGGTTAAAAAATATATATATAAAAGCTTATTTTTTTTTATCCCACCACCATCTACCCAAAAAGGGTCAAAACCATTTAGACGTATTACATTGATTGTAATATTGGTAAAATTTTGAGAATGCCTTCCATATCGTAAGATAAATGGAAGACGTTAATTCTGTCAAGCCAGAATGAGAAAATAGCTTTAGTTTAGAAGTCAAAGCACGAGGTTATCAAGTTGCAGATAATGACATATACAAAGAATGAATACAACAGATCAAAATAGCTATATATGAAACAGTCATGTTCCTATTTATTTTGCATATAGTGGTTTTTAATTCAAGTTTTAAATTGAAAAAAAACTCTTTAAAAAAATGTAATGAGCAACAGCTACATTAAACAATATATTTGTTTAAACTTTCTTTTTACCATGTAACAACAATCAGGATTTTTTTTCCTATTTGACAGTAGTCTGCATAAGTGCCTTAAATTTTTCCAGGTCACATCCATTCATAACAATGGCTTTGTTCTTCTTCTTCAGCTCATCAATCAAATCTAGCACCATCATCCCACGAGTGTATGTCCCATTAAGCTCCACAGTCACTCCACATTCAATGACTTTGGTGACAGTGCTGGGATCAATGGCTGCAGCCATCGCATACGAGTCGCAAGAGACAAATCCAGGTCCATCTACAATGGCCTTCTCTTCCTTCTCACTTCTTGAGAACTGCAAGCTATGAGCATAGATCTTCTTTATGAAGTCAGATTTCTTTGTCCCCAAGTTGACCCATTGATCATACCATTCCTAAGCAACCAAAACAATATAAATTTTTCTGTTATAAGAAAATGGTAAGCTGTTCATAACTATCTAGGAAGCAATATCACCAATACAATAAAAGTACCATTTCATTGTTAACAGTGACTGCATAGACTTAGTGTATTTCCAATTTTGCAGTCATGTTAGTTGTGTGTTCCTGCATACTGACATTAACTGTTAAAAGTAGGCAAGATGGCCGATTACAGGTTTTTCTTATCCCTTTTACAGAGGTCTGTCCTAATAGAAAGACTTGGGACTGAAATTTTAAGATTATATATATCTTGACAAGTTTCATTAACATACAATGGACAAGCCATGTCAGACACCTCACCCGACCGCCCATCCTAACATTTTAAACAAATAGTCAGAAGAAATGTTAACCCTTAAAACCCTAGCCTGATTAAAAGCAATTTAAACTGCAATATGCAGGTAACATATATAAAAAAGGTGGCATCGCAATTTGGCTGTGAAAGTGGAAATACACTTTAAGAAATAGAATTGGCTGAAAAGAGTGTGTTAAGCAAAGCTTAATTAAACAAGCAATAAAAACTGAGAATTCTCTCATTTGTGGCATTACAACTACAAAAAAAAAAACAAAAGTTGTAGAATCTTTCTTTAGAGTCAGTAGCTAAGCCCAGGTATCTGTAAGGTCCAACAGGATGGAAAACCAGGCAGTTTTCGACACAGGATGTGTGCAGTGGCATGTATGGATTTCATATTTAGATATGGTTTAGAGCATGAAATCTGAGCTACTGATGACTTGATCTTATAAAAGATTTACAGTATGTTATAATCTTCCCCCTCAAATCAGATGTCTCCAAGTATTTCCAAAAGGTCATGCACCATCTTGACTCCGTCTGCTAAAACATGGACTTTTAAATGCACCACTGAGAGTAAGGATAATCCTAAAAATAAAATCTAAGATGGCAGTTGGTGGTGGACGTTTTTTCATACTTTGTTAATGTAACACATAGCAGTGACGCTTGATGTCTAAAAAGGTACAAATACTGTACTCTTGGCCACCAGTTGGCTTTTAAAATTGTACATCCACACTGCAAAAAAGGAGATGTCTATTGCTGGTCTTAATCACTAAAAATATAGGTTCACTAAGTGGGCTTTCTATCCTCTCAAATCAAATTTATAGTTATCTTTCAATATCCATGGAACCCCAATATATAGACTTTCTGAACTCTGAAACTAAAAACTGCTGATCTAGATTCTCATTTTGGCCATTGCAGGATGAGAGAAGCCAACTAATGAAGTCATGAGATTGAACCTGATACCTTTTGTTTTTTTGCACTTCTTAAGGAACTGACCCAAAATAAGTATACAGATCAGCAGCTGTGACTTCACCCTGACTTTCCTGGCTGAATGATTTTTGACTAACCAAGTACTGAATGAAGAGACAGACAGGCAGCTAGCATTTTGTAGGAAGAGATTTGCAACAGCCTTCTGCATATTCTCAGCCCAGGTTTCTATTAATAGCTGGGACTTATATTGCCACTCTTGGAAACCGACAGACTCTTTTGCATCACACTCGCACACAGAAGACACATTACACACACAATATATTGCCAAAAGTATTGGGACACCCCTCCAAATCATTGGATTCAGGTGTTCCGTGAAATTACCTTGATAATAAATATTCCACGGTCAACTGTTAGTGATATTATAATAAAGTGGAAGCAACTGGGAACAACAGCAACTCTGCCACGAAGTGGTAGGCCACATAAAATGACAGAGCAGGGTCAGCGCATGCTGAAGCGCACAGTGTGCAGAAGTCGCCAACTGTCTGCAGAGTCAATAGCTACAGACCTCCAAATTTCGTGTGGCCTTCAGATTGGCATAACAACAGTGCGTAGAGAGCTTCATGTAATGGGTTTCCATGGCCAAGCAGCTGCATCCAAGCCTTACATCACCAAGTGCAATGCAATGTGTCAGATGCAGTGGTGTAAAGCACGCTGCCACTGGACTCTAGAGAAGTGGAGCCGTGTTCTCTGGAGTGACGAATCACGCCTCTCTGCCTGGCAATCTGATAATTGTGTCTGGGTTTGGCAGTCGCCAGGAGAATGTTACTTGCTTGACTGTATTGTGCCAAGTGTAAAGTTTGATGGAGGGGGGATTATGGTGTGGGGTTGTTTTTCAGGGGTTGGGCTTGGCCCCTTAGATCCAGTGAAGGGAACTCTTACGGCATCAGCATACCAAGACATTTTGGACAATTTTATGCTCCCAACTTTGTGGGAACAGTTTGGGGATGGACCCTTCCTGTTCCAAAATAAAGACATGGATGAGGGAGTTTGGGGTGGAGGAACTTGACTGGCATGCATAGTCCTGACCTCAACCCGATAGAACGTAATTGGGATGAATTAGAGCGTAGACTGAAAGCCAGGCCTTCTCATCCAACATCAGTACTTGACCTCACAAATGCGCTTCTGGAAGAATGGTCAAACATTCCCATAGACACACTCCTAAACCTTGTGGACAACCATCCCAGAAGAGTTGAAGCTGTTATAGCTGCAAAGGGTGGGCCAATGCAATATTGAACTATTGCACTAAGACTGGGATGCCATTAAAGTTTATGTGCGGGTGAAGGCAGATGTCCCAATAATTTTGGCAATAGAGTATAATATACACACACACTTTTAATGTTTTCAAAGGTTTCACTTACCCATGGAAGCTTGGAGCGACATGAATGCTCCCATGTAGCAATGTAGGTTGTACACAAATAGTCCTTTAAGACAATGTAGGCAGCTTCTGGGTCAGCAACGAAGTTAAACTCTCCACAAGCAGAGGTATTTCCTCTTGCTAAATAATACAAAATGTTAGATTACAAAAAAATTAATTACCTATTTAATGTAAAAACATGTAAAATGGAAAGAAGTGACCGGACAATTACAGTCTCAAAACAACTGTGTTTACAAGTGGTATGCAAGAGCTGGTAATATAAATGTTGGGCACCATGACAAACATTATTTGACTTACATTCCATATTTCCACCCATTATGTATAAATTTTTCAGTTTCTGCGGTATTGTTGGATCCATCCTTACAGCTAAGGCCAAGTTGGTCAATGGACCTGTAGCCACCAAAGAGATCTACAAAAATGAAACCACACAAATAATACCAATTAAACAATTTAATGTAAAACAGAATATAAATGTGTGTTGCGTGTGTTGTAAAGTAGCCACCACTCCAAGCTCGCTCCCGTGATGGACTACAATCTCACATTTAGTTTATTCATTTGTATTGAGATTGTAGTCCAGCAAGCTTGGAGTGGTGGCTACTTTACAACACCCACAGGGACCATGGGGAACAAAAGTAGCCACCCTCCAGAAGGAAGGACAGTGTCAGCACCAATTCAGAAATGATTTGAGGCTGTACAGCTGAGTGATACACAAATAAGATACATTTATGTTAATAGTTTGGATACTTGAATGCATTTTTAAAGATTTTACTTGTAAGTTTAGCGTCACTTATTAAGATTGCTTTCTTAATAATTCAACTATTCAAAAGGGCTTGCACAGAGTACACTCTAGATCAGTTCATTTGTTTAGTTATTTGTCTCGAAATGTTTATGGAAAAGTATCAGCCATATAACTTTGGTTAAGACTATATGCGGTATAGGAAGTGAAACATTGGCATTTTAAAATATAAGATATGCTTCTCAAAAATATAAAAATAGCGCCTTACTAATTTCAAGCTGAACTGCAGTGAGATTTATAAATTTTAAAATATAAATACAAAAATGGATGCCGTTATGTATTTAAACAGTCTTTATTTAATGCAGGTAGTGAAAGTGCCCAAATCTGGTCTTGTCATGAGCTTTTCTTATCCTTTGTACAGATGCACTCAGTCTGGGATAGGGAGGGACAGCACTAGGAACCAATGAGGTGAGCCAATGAGGTGAGCTACATGCACATATTCTGACAATAAACATGATGACAGGAAGAAAGAGCATAGGGATTACTCACCAATATTCTGCTGCTCCACCATCTATTTGCAGGCTGGGGGCAGGAAGCTGAGAATGCTGAATTGCTCACATGTAGTAGACAAATATCAGGTGAGCAACCTGTCTCTTTTGTCTGACAAGACTGTGTAGATCTCGACAAACCAGGTATTTTAGCAGATAAAAGATATCTCTTGTGAAAATCATGTTTTCTATGATGCAGGGATTGCCAAACTAGGGCACCCAATCAACATTACAGTTTTGGCAGCACTGGCATCGGTAGTCTTGTTCCAAGAGGATACACGCCATCTTTAATACTGACACTTTAATGTGCTTCTGTTTGGCCTGATTAATCACAAACCCCCGGATGATGAAGACCAAAGTCTTTACTGAATTTGTGTTTTAACATGATTTTGGTCTATGTATATACACTGTAGGTATTCCCTCCTGAACCTGGTAAAAAAAAAAAAAAACTTTTGACAGAATCCTGATTGGCTAGGAAGCCAGCTTCACTTCAAACACTCTGGTTTCCTGACCAATCAGGATGCCAAACAGCACCTCATGACTCACCACCCGGCTTCCTGATTGATCAGGAAACTGGGCAACCTCGGCAAGAGAGGCCGATGTTCTTTCACTAGAACACCGGCTTCACATGCAATCAGGAGGCCGAGCGAAGGGTCATGATACACCTCCCGACTTCCTGATAATCAGGGCACACGGCACCGGTACTTGGTATCGGCGAGTACCGAAAAGAAAGAAAAATACCAGGTTCCTAAAAAATGGTATTGGTACATCCCTACTAAGAACATTTATTTTTGACTCAGTGTGAATGGCATTGCCAAGTGTTTAGAACTAGACTTCCTAGTGTTTCCTAACCACCAAAAACTGTGTGCTGTAATCTTGACTGGTCTATCACCTTTAATAAGACAGCTTCTAACTAAAGATCTGTACTTAGTGGTAGAAATACTACTGCTTTACAATGTTGTTGAATGATGATTGTTACCTGGCCTGGATACTGAGAAGCAAAGCGCTTTATTGCGTCAACAGCATGTTCCTTCTGTAACAATTGCAGGCCGGGGGGATTTGGATCTGGTACATCACCCAGCCCATCTACTCCATGAAAATCTGATGCATTTATGTTCTTTCCTAGGATTGCTGAGTCTGCTCCTTTGAATACTGGAATCTGTGAAGTCGGGACAAATAGTTAAATACATTGAATACACATTTAAAATCTACTAAAAAAAAAGGGGGCCACACTGGATGCATAACAAAGTTGTGTGCAGGCTTTATTTAGCATGTATTGAAAAAGGTATGGTTATGTCATTGTGACATCAGGGATCCCAAACCGAAAAATGCAATTTCAGTGAGGTGCCCTCTGCCACCCTTAGGAAAGAGAGCACTCCCCTAAAATGATAGCACGGGAAGCGATAGCTTCTTTGCTATCTGCTGTTTTTTGTTTTTTGTTAGTATTCTGACAGCTGCTGCCTTCAGATAAAAAACAAACAAACAACACACACACAAATGACTAGCTAGATTGCTATTGGCTATTTCAATTTGCAATATCCAATAGCAAGCTGGCTATTGCACCCGCCCACTGCTGCTGTCAATCACTAGAAGAGGATCTGATAGCGAACTTCAGGTCCACTTCTGCTGATTGACAGCAGCAGTGGGCGGGTGCAATAGTTAGTCTGCTATTGGCTATTGCAAAGTGAAATAGCTAATAGCAATCTAGCTATGCATTCCCATGGTTTTTTTTCCCCCTGACGGAGGTCGGCGGTCCCGATGTCAGAAAAAAACAAAAACCCCAGATCGCAGGGAAAGGTTTACTCTGCTAGATCAGCAAATTAAACCTTTCCGGGAGAAAATGTTCCTCTCCCGGGCGGCCGGGAGCCGCTATCTAATAGCGGGAGACTCCCGGAACGTCCGGGAGAGTTGGGATGTCTGTATCATCCAAGACACAATTATTTTTCTTTATATTATTGGACCCAGGCATGTTACACTGTATTGTAATAACAATCATGCAACAATCATATAACCAACAACAGTATAATCAACAGCTCTACCTGGTGTATAGTACTGTAATTATGCAGGGAAACAGTCTGAGCACGTTAGGCCCTTACCTCTGAAACAATGCACATTGTAAGAAGAAAAAAAAAAACCACTCCCATATTATATTTCAAATAATATCTGCCAATTTTTTGCTCACAAATAGGGCAGAAAAAAAAAAGTACAAAATGTACCCATCACTAAATCTGTTTTCTCATAATATTGATTAGTTTGAATAAGGATTAAAGTAGTCTAAACCCAATCAAATATCAAAAATATTAACATGTATATACACCATAGATAACAGAACTTATAAACACTGCCATCTAGTGACTGAAATTGTATACTACAGAAGTTGTTGCTATAAACACAGTAATGTGTATTCTAACAGGAGCACCTGTCTTTGCAAGGGACAGTGGGGTTGATTTTCTAGAGGAGCGAGCACTAGGCATGTGTATTCAGATGAACTTGCAAATAAACGAAATTCCATTGATTCGGTGGTTCGTATGAATCCGAAATAAGGATTTATTATATGCCCGAATACACGAAAAACTATATACAGTCATATATTAACTCGTTTACAGAACACGCGCAGGCCATTTTGGCCACCGCCGCGTTCTGCACATGTGCGCTGCCATTTTGGAGACGGAGCGCATGACATCACATGATGCCGCACGTGTGCAGCGTTGGGTGATGTCATACACATGTATGGGCGCCACTAAGATGGCGGCACCCATACATGCACACGGGGTGCCATGTGATGTTATGCACTCCGCCTCCAAGATGGCGTCACGCATGCGCAGAAGGTGCTAGTGGCCGAACAGCGTTCTGCTGTTTAAATGTGCAGTTTTGGATTTGGAGGTTCGTTGCCTCCGAACCTGAAACAGCATAATTATTCGTTTCTTCAAATGAAAGAAAAATAAAAAAATGTGTTTCATCCTAAATACTTTTTTATGCTGGTCACATGTCATAAGGCACTGTTTATTTTGGAAAGTGAATGTTCATTAAGCTCAGTAAATAAGGTCTGTGTTTACTTCAATCAACCAATTGTTTACTAGCTAAAATCCTGTTTCCTTGCATATTATTGGGTATTTAAAGTAATCACAAGTTTGCTTATTTAAAGACATTCATTTTGTGTGAACATACAACTGAATACAAGTGAATATACAATTTTTTTTAGGTGAACGTTGATTTTGCTAATGCTCTCAGACATAGAAACGGACAAAGAAGTAAATGGAAAAAAAAAAATGTTTTTTCAGACATTTCATATAACACATCATGCCCCCTACCCCTGGTGTCTTTCAAACTGATTCTGCTTCCTATCTGCAGCCCGAAAATATGTAGAGGTTTAATTATCATTGGAACAGCAAAATTAAACAAATAATTAGATAGATACACACAGGACCGGATTTACTTTCCCTGCTGCCCCAAGGCCAGGTTCGGTTCCGCAATGCGCACCCCCCCACACCCCCCCAATACAGGGGGTGGCAAAGTTGGTTTGAATTTTTATTGTTTCTCTCCTTTTTTTAATTTATTATCACTTTACTTTTTTAGATTTTTATTTATCTCGTCATCTTTTATTTTTTTTAGAATTTTTTATCTTATTTATAATAATTTTTTTTATATTTTTCCCTTTTTATTTATTTTTTACTTTTTAATTACTTATTTT